TTATTTGTATGGGGGAATAGTTATATAGATAATTATTGGCCAATCATTGAGCTAGCCTTGTGTGTGTGTGTGTGTGTGTGTGTGTGTGTGCATATATATATATATATATATTAGAGGCCACCTAGAGAGAAGAGGGGAGCCTTATTGAAGTGAAGACAGAATAGAAAAAAGTGAACCCAGCAGGATTTTAATAATTCATTTTTTTTTTTTATAATTGAATATTGCATTAAGAATTTTGTGGGGAGATAATGATATTTTTTTTATACAAAGTTTTACTAGTTAACCCATAGATGAGGGCAAGAGATGGATTCTTACCTTTCCCAATTGTATTTAGGCATGTGAATGTAACAGACTTGACTGGAATTTGAATACAGCTCTTCAGTTTCTCATTCCATATATATATATATATATATATATATATATATATATATATATATATATATATGAAATAAATTATCACCTGATCAAATGGATTTTTAAGGATTCTGTATTCAATATTATATTGCTTTGTTCTTACATTGAGTTCTTTGGATTTATATCCTCCTTGAAATTATCCCTACTAATCATCAAATGATAAATATATGTTTGTAAGATGAGAATGAATAGAGTACAATTCCAATGTTCATACATTTAATTTAAGGGCTCAATACAGAGTAGAGCAATATTATTTATTTTAGGTTAATCATTTTAGATTAATTGTTCACTTGCCAGTAATTTACAATCACCTGAGGAGACACATTGGTATGTTCTGAAACATGACTGCAATTGTGTGACGATTTTTAAAATGGGGATGGCTTGAGAAAAATGAAATGTTAGAAGTGGATAATGTTGACAGATATTACAGGATGCGTAGTCTATATCAGGTAAACTATCATACTGAACAGAATTTTGAGTGACCTTAGTGGGAATGGTTTGAGAAAAATAAAATGCTATTCATGGATAAGGTTGCCATAATTACAGAATACAAGGGTCTTTCTTCTGTAGTGTGTTAAACATACAATTCATGAAGTTTAAAGAATATTTCTTCGTTATCTGTGATCAATAAGGTATCCTCTTAAGATATTTATTTATTGCTTAGATTTATCCTAATTGGAAATAGCTGTTTTTTTTTTTTTTGTTTTTTTTTCCATTTAATACTCTTGGGAAAGGCAAGTACTTTGAGTCAGTTTGATTTGAATGTCTATAGAACAGTGGATCAAAAAGGTTAGATCAAGTTTGTTTTATTGATGAACCATAAAATCACATGTGTATCGTGAAGAATTTCACAACTGTACATCCAGTAACATTAAAAAAAAAATATATATTGTATAAACAAAGCCACCGTGTGTGCAGTTAATTATTGAGTTTAATGTCCAATAATCAATTAAACAAAAGTCTTTCATAGTTTGTCTCTTTAATTCTCTTTATATCAGTCGCATGACAATGAATGTATCATTACGATCGATTTTCAACTCAGCTTAACTAGACTTGGTGGCATCAATATTACTTAACCGCAGACATCATCAAATCCCGAGTGTCCTGGGTATGATGATAAACTACATCTGGCAGCAAGGCCTCTGATTGGAAGACTGGAGGTTTTGAGAAGTGTAGAACCACCTCTTAACTGCTGTTGTCTCAGGTGCACTCTGATCCAGGGTGGTAGCACCTGTTCTGAATCCTACAAACTGTAGAAACTATATCTGGCACCAATGCTGCTGATTGGAATATTGGCGGTTTTGAGAAGTGTAGAACCACCTTTTAACTGCTGCTGTACCAGGTCCACCATGATGCAGAGTGGTAGCACCTGTTTGGGTCCCAGATATGGGCAAATACTAAATCCTCAAACAAAAATCAACAGTACATTTTTATAAAAAAAAAAAGAAAAAAAAAAAAGAAAAAAAAAAAAAAAAAAAAAAAAAAAAAAAAAAAAAAAAAAAAAAAAAAAAAAAAAAAAAAAAAAAAAAAAAAAAGAAAAAAAAAAAAAAAAAAAAAAAAAAAAAGAAAAAAAAAGAAAAAAAGAAAAAAAAAAAAAAAGAAAAAAAAAAAAAAAAAAAAAAAAAGAGAAAAAAAGAAAAAGAGAAAAAAGAAAAAAGAAAAAAAAAAAAGAAAAAAAAGAAAAAAAAAAGAAAAAAAGAGAAAAAAAAGAAAAAAAAAAGAGAAAAAAAAAAGAGAAAAAAAAAGAAAGACCAACTATGCATTTTTATATCAAAATGACAATCAATTCAACAATAAAAGAATTTGAAAATAAAATTTTTATAGTACAATTACCACAATACCTTTTATGGTCTACAAAATATATATCTAAAAAATAATTTTATATTTTCAAGGTAAAGGTGTGTACAAATTAGATTTCAACATTAAATAACCCATAGAGGTGGATATACCACTAATCAAAATCAACCAACCGACAATACACATTTATAGTAAACTTACCAATAATACCTATTTATATTTAAATCACTAACAATACATATTTAAAGCAAAGTGACAAAATCCCTCACTAAGTAGATATATTTTTTTTAAATCCTGTATTTACTGAAGTCATAAATTTCCTTTCTTTAAAACGTTTGTTCATATCATAGAAATTTGAAGATTCTGCAAGGAACAAAATGGTAAATGTTTTTCAATAAAGTTTCAGTTTTTTGAAAGACGGCATCTGGAATCAAGGTGTCAGAAGATGACAATTGGTGCTGCATTTAAATTTTTGAAGATTGTAGTTATTAGGGAAGCAAGTAAGAGGGAGGGTGTTCCACTGTCAAGAAGTGCACGAGAAGAAGCTGCTTGAGTAGAAGTGGCAGTTACATTTAACTATTTCAACAGTAAAAGGGCGTGACCTACATGCCAATCTACTAGCACACTTAAATTCATGCAGTTGGGGCACCAGGGAAAATAGCTCATCAGAGCAGTTGCCAGGAAATTATTTGTTGAAAAGACAGAGGGAAGCCACATCACGTCTGTGAGAAAGTGACTGGAGTCAAGATGCCAAATCAGGACTGACTACATTGCAGATCCTTCTTTGGATTTTGTCGAGAATCTCGAGATGAACAGCAGAGGTATCAGACCAGATATAGTAACAGTATTCAATGCATGGACAAATGGTTGATTTGTAGATGTGAAGGATGGACAAGAAAAACCTTCTGGCATGATGCAGAGAACCAACTTTCCTTGCAGTAGATGTAGCTGTTGATTCAATATAATTGTGATTCCACTTCAAGTCAGTAGAAAATATGAGGCGGTGAGATGCTTTTGGAAATTTAAGCATCAACGACAGAAGTTTCTCTATGGTAGTTAAATGAGATCAGCTTTGTTTTGGAAGTATTAAAATTTACAAGCCATTTCCTGCCCCAGTTAACCATTGATTGGAGGGCGTTTTCAAGACCAACAGCCTGGTTAGCTTTGTCATCATTGCTGGATTTACTATTTAGGCAGTGGTAAATGGTAGTGCTGTCTCCATAGATGCCTACTTGAGAGCTGATGACATGTGCCCTAGTAATTTTAATTATCTTTTTCTGATGCTACGTACGAGGATGATCTTGAAAAAAAAAAAAAAAAAAAAAAAATGAAAATTTCATGCAAAATGTGTGCCATGTCCCTTTAGAATTTCAGTAATCATGGCTCTCCACAATTTCCTATCCTTTTTGACTAAGATTTTGTTATCTCTCCTAATACCTATTTTGTCAACACTTTACACAAGTTTGTTAGGAGGTTATCTTCTGCGTCAACTTTTCCAAGACCTCTTTAATCATTAGGAGCTCTAGAAATTTAAACTCTTTCCGATTCTAAGTGTACTTTTTCTTTCCATTTTCCTTAAAACATCCTCATTACCCATACGTTCAAGTCCATGGTATTTTCAGCATCCTTCTGTAGAACCACAATTCTATTGCCTTAAGTCTCTTCATCTGGGAGAGGATTATTCAGCATTCACTGTCATTCTGTTCATGGTATCCTCAGCATCCTTTTTTAGAACCACAATTCTATTGCCTCAAGTCTCTTCTTTATCTGTGTTTAGATTGTCTAGATGCAGGCGGACCAATCTGGTCACTGTTAAAACACTTCATGTATATTTAAATTTTTGCACTTGCTTGATTTTGGTGTCCCCAACTATCCTTGTAAATTTTAATGCCACCGAAACAAAACTGCTTTCATTTACTAGCCACAGAGAAACTTTTCTGCCTTCCATCAGCATATGGCTGATGCTAACCTCCAAGAGAGCAACACTTTGTGCCTTCTTGGGATCACGTTTTCTATTGACATGAAGTCATTATATTGAATCAAGTGGTAAGTTTCCTGCTAGGAAGGTTCATTCACTGTATTGCGCCAGACAATTTTCCTTGCACATTTATAAATCTACCATTCATCCATGCATTGAATATTGCTTTCATAGAATTCCTTAGTGTCTCAAGCTTTTACTACTTGATTGGAAATTCTTTACTGCAGAAATAGCAAGATGTAACATCTAGCTAGTTTCTTCTCTCGCATTTCTCAACTGTGGGACTCTTCTGGTTTTTTGCTTCCCTGCCACTGACGATCATCAAAAATTTGAATGCAACTTCAATCATCATCTTCTGTCTTCCTAAACCCTGTTCTTTTATTGTTCTTTCTCCTCACTAAAGTCTTCTCATTCCCTTTCACTTCCAGGAACTTCTTACGTCTTAGTGTTACTTAGTGTTAGCCTTACTTGAGGTGAAAAAGAAAAAAAAAAAAAGAAAAAAAAAAAAAAAAAAAAAAAAAAAAGAAAAAAAAGAAAAAAAAAAAAAAAGAAAAAAAAAAAAAAAAAAAAAAAAAAAAAAAGAAAAGAAAAAAAGAAAAGAAAAAAAAAAAAAAAAAAAGAAAAAAAAAAAAAAAAAAAAAGAAAAAAAAAAAAAAAAAAAAAGAAAAAAAAAAAAAAAGAAAAAAAAAGAAAAAGAAAAAAAAAGAAAAAGAAAAAAAAAGAAAAAGAAAAAGAAAAAAAAGAAAAACATATATTTTATGATTTACCATTAGTTCAGAACATTCACTGCAGTAAATGATTCTCCACAGGTATGTCTATCTATGCTGAGGTTGATGATACAAATCAAAACGGAGAATATCTGATGATCATTGTAATGATAAAAAATAAAAAAAAATGCAGGAGATTCATGTGAATAATTGAGGAATCAATAAAAAAAACTGAGGTGAAATGGAATAATTGCATCTAGTGACGTACATACACATATATTCTCTTTGTTCTCTCATTAAATGTTCAACAATCACTTTTCGTAATGATTTTATCAGAAAGCATATAAAACTTGAATGAGATGTCAGTTTGGCTTTGAAGAGATCAAGCAATTACAAAACGTACACAAATTTTATAAAGATTCCCAAGAACAGCATGTAAAACATTTTATGACATGACCAATGGTCTTTTTTCAGTTTTCCTTCATTGCCCGTTCTGTTAAAACATGTTCAGAAGCATATGTACACAGTGGCACTTGAAAGTTTGTGACGTCTCACCATCGTCATTGTTATTTTGAAAAAAATAAAAATAAGCCTATTTAATGGGCAGCCTAACATCAATTTGTAAAGTAGACTTTCCAAATAAGCTTCACAAAAAAACAAAAAAGGAAGTATTTTAAATATTTATTAAAAAAAAATGTGATTTATTTCACCTAAACTGAAAATCTGACCGTGCAAAAATGTGACCCCCCCCCACCCTCCGCGCGGGCGAAGTACGTGGCCTCCACCCTCCGCGCGGGCGAAGTACGTGGCCTCCACCCTCCGCGCGGGCGAAGTACGTGGCCTCCACCCTCCGCGCGGGCGAAGTACGTGGCCTCCACCCTCCGCGCGGGCGAAGTACGTGGCCTCCACCCCCCCGCGCGGGCGAAGTACGTGGCCTCCACCCTCCGCGCGGGCGAAGTACAGTACGTGGCCTCCACCCCTCCGCGCGGGCGAAGTACGTGGCCTCCACCCTCCGCGCGGGCGAAGTACGTGGCCTCCACCTCCGCGCGGGCGAAGCCTCCACCCTCCGCGCGGGCGAAGTACGTGGCCTCCACCCTCCCTCCGCGCGGGCGAAGTACGTGGCCTCCACCCTCCGCGCGGGCGAAGTACGTGGCCTCCACCCGAAGTCCGCGCGGGCGAAGTACGTGGCCTCCACCCTCCGCGCGCGGGCGAAGTACGTGGCCTCCACCCTCCGCGCGGGCGAAGTACGTGGCCTCCACCCTCCGCGCGGGCGGGCGCGCGGGCGAAGTACGTGGCCTCCACCCGAAGTACCGCGCGGGCGAAGTACGTGGCCTCCACCCTCCGCGGGGCGAAGTACGTGGCCTCCACCCCCCCCGCGTGGGCCTCCACCCTCCGCGTGGGCGAAGTACGTGGCCTCCACCTTCTGTATCAAAAAAGGTGATATCAGAGAGAGCAAGGATAGATGCATATGGCACGTGGATAAGAAAAGACAGTGTTCCAACATTTATTTTTATGTTAGTCTTGTTGTATGCAGTTTTGCATTGTCACGGAGAAGAATAACATTTTTCCCTGTATGGACATGTTGCAGATGATGGAGACAGAAATACGCATATAGTGTTTCATAGCATTTCTTGAAAGGATATAACCTATGAATGACAACAAACTACTTGCATATGGATATAGAAGTAATTCACTGAATACACAAAAATAGAAAGTCGTTTAAGACAAGGATGAGTCGTCTCACCGGATTTATTCAACCTCTACATTGAGGTGATCCTGAGAGAATTCGAAGTCCAAAACAGGATTGTTACCAGCCGCATAAAATTACATGTAAATGAGACAGCACTGACAGCAGATATAAAAAGGTAGTGAAAGAAAGTGAAAAGTAAAGACTAAACCTTAATGGCAAGATAAAATGCATGATTATCAGTAAAAGGAACAGCAAATCAAACAAATACAATAATTTAAATATCTGGGAAGTGTTTCAACAGAGGACAAAGAGAACTGTTAAGTGATATCATGTTCTCTTATATGGCAGTGAATGTTGGACAATCTCCTCACAGATGAAGAGGAGGCTTGAAACACAACAGAAGGATGTGGAGAATAGTACAAGCATTGCAATGACAATGTTTTAGAGAAAATGGAAACCAAAAAAGACAGACAATTCTATTTATCAGGAAGAGATAGTTGAAAATTTCTAGGGCACATAATGTGGAAAGAGGGCTCGGAAAATTTGATACTCCCTGGACACAAGAGGGACAGAAGAAAAGAACCCATAACCTACCTAGCAAGTTTGAATAAACGGATGGCAGAACAAGGTTTAGGAGAGATAACAAAAAGACAAAATTTATTAAGATCTACAACGGACAGGAAAATGTAGAGAGCCGTAAAATCAATAATATTCTAACAATGCACAGTATTAACTTTTGTAGTGTAGTGTTACTGACTCAAGGAGGCATGGTGGAGTAATGGATAGCGGCTCGGATTGATAATCAGAGAGCCGAGTTCGAATTCCAGTCAGATCCATTACATTCACTTACGTGCTAATACCCTTGGGTATTAATGCTTTTCTTCTCCCCCTATCTATGAGTTCTATAGCTTTGGATGGCAACCAGTCTAGGAGAAGGAAAGTGAATTCAAATCCAACCTGAGCTCTGTCAAGCTATGTTACGAAAGAAACACCACTTCTACTGCGGATGCATTACATGTGGTAACCCTACGACCCTGATGGGTTACGGTATTTGGGACTAACTCACAGGGAGTAGTATGCACTCAGCTGCATTATGGGTAATAGCTGTAACTATATAGTCTTTGTAAATGAGTCACCTCATCTCCCTGTACCGAACAGATTTTATCTCCCTATTTTTCCTGGTACTACTTCTGAGAGCTTTTGTCTATCTTCCTCTATTTCCCTAAGAGATTGTCTAGATATGGTAGATCTTGACTTTTTTCTTTTTTTTCATGGGAGTGTTCCTCCAATAGGAATGTTTCATCTTCAGAGTCTATCTTACTCTCCATTATACTGTTATGTTTGCCTTGCGTTGACACGACACCTTTCTTCCAGTAACTCATTTTTTTATCATATTTTATATTTAAAGAACAGTTAAGATGTTACATTCATCTTTACACTTAGTTCCCCAAAACGGAAAATATTTATAGTGATTTTCTAAGTGTATCTTAGATATGGCACAAGGCCAAAAGTATGGAGCACTCAGTAAGGATTGAAATTGCTCTGGCGAGACAAGCTTGCTAACCATTAAACCATGGCAGGGGGCCCTAAAAGGAAACTGACCCAATCTAGTGATTTTTTCGATGAATAATAAATTCTTACAAGAATCGTTTCCATATTTTTTATATTAAAATAATTTATAAACATTCAAAAATCTTCAAAACTTCCTCGTCATTAGGTTATTAACTGAAGACTATATTTACTAAACGAAAATTGAAAAGCATAATACAAGTCATCACACACCAAGATTAAAATGATTTTTAATTATTTTAATGTATATAAACGTGCCCATTTTGTAAGTATGGGTGACCATACACGACATTATCAGAAAATAAGATCGATGACTATAGTAAATTTAAAAACAACATTTTTAAAATTAGATTACGGGGAATATTTCCAACATTTTTAAGATTACTGAATACTTAAAAATTATATAAAAAAGCATTCACTTGTCATTTTCTTAATTTATTTAACAGATAAAGTCTCTGTAGAACAAAAATAAATCTGACAACACCTTCAGAAGCACTTGCCAAATGATTTACGAGCCTTAATCACTGCTACTGTTGGTTTTAAAAATACGTTTCTGTTATTTTCAACTTAAATATTTTTTTTTCCAAATCAGATTAATTATATTTAAATCGGCTAATATTTCTCAAAGATTCAGAAAATTATATTTTATTTTTGGAAGATTTTTTTTTTAAATACAGAGAATGACATTGCAATGAAAGAAAACAAAAACAGGGCGCTAATCAACTATTTTCGAAAAAAAAAAAACTATTCCAAGCAATATAATTTCTGTTCGAAATACAGAGTATTTTGCTTATTGGAAATAGTAAATTTAATCCTTTAACTTTCAATTAAAGCTAAAACGAAAGCTTCAAGAAACCTTTTTCATTTATAAAAATTAGGCATCGAGAATTAGTAGAGGTCCCTATGTTTTAAGGTTTGCTATTTTGGACTTGACTTTTTTTTCATTATAAAATGTCAAGACAAAGAAAGTTTTCCCATAGAAACTGTTAGATTTAAAAAAAAAAAAAAATCACCCTCTGTTGCGCAATTTGTTTCATCTTAATAAAATAACTTGGAGAGATCCATGATCGCTAGCCTATCGTCCGGTTCACACTCCTCCCCGGACTTTTGAACAGGAGTAGAAATTCATCCCTTGTTTCCTGTCTAGGATTCAGTTTCCGGTTTCTCCTAAAGTCTACTTTCACTGTATAGTTCTAACGTCTCCGACTGAAATCGGAAATGTTATTCGCTAATTAAATCTTGACCTCTTCAAGTCTTGAGTTGGCCGTTATCTTTCCTGTATAGGCCGAAGAACTCTACTTCTTCCATTTTCTTATGCTAATACAACACCACATAGTAACCCTCTACTTTGAGGGACTCTTTGGCCTTGTATTGGGTGAAAATTAGTAGAAATAAAAACACAGGGGAAAAACTGAGTGAGAGGTGATATTTGACACAAATACCCACCTTTAGGTAATTATATTGATACAGATTTCGAAAAATTCGTTTGGTTTGTTTTATGACATTAACCTCAATGAGTTATTTAATGCCGACAAAATCTTTTTTGCTCGTAATATTTTGTTTTGTCAAAAATCTATTTCTGGTAATATTTTTCCTTCAAAAATGAATTGCTGGTAATAATTTTTTTACAAAGTATTTCTGGTATTAAAACCTATTTTTACACTTTCATAGTGTTTTTTTTTACCATAGTTTCGGGGTTAACTATTTGCTCATAGCTGGGACCATAACAGGTGCTACCACCCCGGGTCTGGGTGGACCTGGGAACACCACCAATTAAGAGGTGGTTTCCACGCTCCTCAAAACCTGCTCAGAAGCCTTGCTGTTGGACGTAGTTTATAGTCATACCCAGGACGGGAGACTTCGTAAAAGAACATTCAAATGTTGGCAATATTTACAGCACAATACACTAAACATGAGTTACCATATTAAACACACCGAATAAACATGGAAATCGTAATAAACCTCGCCATAGATTCTTGTCATTTAAATACCAGCTTATGGCGGGTGGTTTAATGGCTCAAAGTATGAGATATTGAACAGGCAAACGGAGTAGACATTTTGACAGGGCTCACTTTATATTTCTCACCTTGAGAAAATCATGAATGCTTTTCTCCCAATAGGACAAATTAGAGATTATTCCTGTTGTCTGCTCCCCAACTATGGGTAAATAAGAATGGCGGTTGGATCGCTTCAATTCTGTCAGGTAATACATAGAAAACTGCTCTGGTAAAAAAAAAACCAACAGCTCAACAGTCGTATTAGTTATTCTGGCTTGCAGTGCTAACAAAGAGCAGGAAGAAAGAGTGAAGTGTGTGTGTGAGTTTATCTCCACTTCAAGCCATCAGCATAGACAGTGGGGACGGACAAGCCTACAGAAGATACGCAGACCCCACCTCATCTGATTCTCACAAAAACATGCCAACTGACAAAGCCAGCCAAAGATGAACGCCAAGAAGATCCTTCAAATATCACTTTCATTTTCAGTGAGAATATTATCACAGTACAAGATGGTAAATAAAATGCCAAACTATTAGACATGTCAGATTTATGAAATCGTAGGTTTTTTTTTTAAAGTAGTAGGAAAAATAAGTATTCTGTACACTTACACAGCAAAAAAAAAAAAAAAAAAAAGTTTATTGCATTATTTACATTAAGAATGCATGGTAATTAAAAATGACGCCACTTACAAATTTTATCTTTAAAACAGTAATTCCGAGCAATAATTTCAACACTTATATAACACTAGGAGATATATTTAAAACTAGCTTAAAAGCCGTGCAGTCTTAAGCAAACTCCTGCCCAAAACTAAAGAAAACTTAGAAAATGATCATTTTGAAGAAAAAACTGAATTCTTCAATTCACTCCATGGAATTTCAAAACATCACTTTAACTCCGATTCAGACTATAAGGCCAAAAGACCGATTTGGGCTAAAATTCCAATTCGAAAATTGAATTCTTCAAATCGCAAACTCCGTGGAACTTTAATAACTCACGTCCCAAAACCTCTCTTAAACTTACCCATAAACTCGGCGTTTTGACATTCCTCGCTAAACCTTGCTGGCCGGAAATTTCTTTAATCCCTCTGCCTACCACCTTTCCTTCCTTCAGTGCTAACCTTACCTTTCTTGTGCTTAATGTAATTTTTAACGAAAATTCAAGGCCTATATATATATATATATATA